AAAAAGAACCCTAATAAAATGAAATAAAAGCAGCAGAAAGAAGGAAAAAATCTTGTATCTGTGCCTTTCCTCCATCAAATAAATTTACTAATAATAATCTTTACGCAACAAAACATGTAGTAAAGCGGGTTGGGAGTTGGTTATTTACTGGATTTTTTATGTCTCACTGGCTTTGGGACATAAAATGAATTTGACTTTGAGTTTTTGAAACATGTGTGATATAGCCCTATATGTTCATGACCTGACATGAAAAAAATCTGTGTAATTTATGGACAATCCGTACAAGCATGTATGAAATACAGAGCAGAGGTTGGACTCTGGCCAAAAGGAGCAGGACGTGTCTTTCTGGAGTCACTGCAGCAGGACATTTCTCTGCAGGACTGGATTAGTTTTGACCCTGGACCATGGGCAAGTGACTCATGTGGAAGAAGCAAAATGCACTCTTCCTTTCTCTCTTCTGAACCACACACACTACAGTTGAAGAATTGTAGAATCTGATTATTAAAGTTTCTGTGTAAATAATGATGCAGTGCTTGAAAAGAAACCTCTTCACTTTGGTTAAATACCACTTCTAATAAAGCCTGGAGCCTTTTGTACTAAGAAGTAGCAGCTATTATCTTAAAATAGTTTGATATTTATTCATTAGGCTCTTTCAGAAGACGCCTCATACCGAAGCTGAACATTAAAAAATTATAGTTTTATGGCATGTTTGGGATTTCTTTCCATCCCCCAAAATTAATCCAGTCTCCTCTTTTTTTGCCAGGTTTGTATTGTCTTCCTGCTGTCCTCACAGCGTCTTAATTTCACAGCATTACATCAGACCCTGCAGTCTGGTGTTGGTTTAGGAGCTGGCCAAATAAGAACACCTAGTGAGCAGACCTTTGGGTTGTTGTACATCGACGGRGAAAGACTATAATGTCTGTTTATGTAAAATATTAAAGATAAATAAAAATTACAATGATGCATTCACTGAAATCTGTTGCTGTTGCTGGAGAACAGTTATTGGAAAAGCATAAGAATGAGCTTATCAGTAGGTTTGGCAACAACATTATTCTTTTTAGTCTTTTGGCTGAGCTACATCTCTATGGAGACAGCAATGAGCGAGTACTGCCAAGTAAAACCATAGTTTGTTTTACTATAGGATATGTGTATGTATTTATTTGTAATGCAATCTCAAGTGTAATGCTATCCCCATTTTTTTTAGCTTAAAAAGCATACAAAAATCCAATATTCATGTATAAYGCTATCCCTAATTTCATAAAGACTTAAAAAGATAAAGGGTTTTTCTACCTTTGTTGTTTGTATACTGATCATATGTTTGTGGTATCTGAGTTTTTTAAAGTATAACATTATAACATGATATAAAACTCAAAAAAGTTGATTTTACATCATATTGCCCCTTTAAAAGACAGTTGATACAGATGGTTTGGAAGAAAAAGACAACAAACATTTTGTAATGCAGAAGGACCACCTTCTGCTGGAAGAAGAGATTACTTTGGTGATTCCTACGCTGGTGGAGACATAAACCTACTTACAACGCCAGTAAATGCAAATAGCAGGTATCATGGACAAATGTGCTTTTTCCAGAAAAGACACAATATTTCAGTTATATATGAGAAAATATTGATATTTAATGTGATCGTACATTAGCAAAAAGTTGCTTCAAAATTTACTCGATTTTTGGAGTGAAATTTTTTGCATTATACTGGAATAAATTGGGTATATGCTGTCCATATATTGTTTGTAATTTAGGGACCAGAAATAGTGAATGAATGGTCATATCTATGGTTTTTTTTTTAGGTAGACTTAAAATTTAGCCATCCTACTCCTTTCAGTTTGCCTCCCTTTTTTCCTCAAAAGAAGTACAGCTATATTGTGAACAAGTGAGTTCCTAATTAAAGGTGTTTCCATTCTTTTTTTTTCTTGTTCTTTCAGCCTAATCCGTCCAATAAACTGGCGATCATTCACATCCTGGGGCTGCTTTCCAATCTGTTCACTACGCTTGACATTAGCAAGCAAGATGATGAGTCAGCTGATGGCTCAGTTCTTCCTGTCAAAACGGCCCCACCTCCACCTGGACCAAATCCGGTCAGTCACCACATGCCATTCTAATTCCATTTTGATATATTTGTGATATTCAGAATTTATAAATGATATTGGTTTTGTAACATGGTACACTCCAGTTTTCATTTTCCAGATTTTTGGATTAGTAGGAGTTCCATTCCCTACAACCCAACCCTATGGGGGGATTATTACTTATGAGTGACTACAGGTTCTATTTCATCCCTACTGACCACCAGAGGGCGGTGCTAAAAGCACTGAATATTCCCTTTGCGCATGTGTCGTTCAAGTAATTAATATCAATGAAGTCATAGCTGTGACCCACTGGATGATTACCTTGAACCGATATTGGCCGATAACATCCGGGGCTGTGCTCCTTTTATCTTCTCGCATGCAGTTCGCATCTTTGCTTGGCATTAGATTTTGCAAAAAGTTTGGATTACTTCACTGTCGCTGGACGTAACATTTGTGTTATTAACTMTTCGCTGTGTTTTGGACGGCTGCGTTAGTGCCTCTGCTCCCAATCTCAGCCTGACTACTTTCTGTTCCTTAGCTGAACATAATGGCATCAGCTCTGTTTAATCTTTTCTAATTCGCTGCGTTTTGGTGACTGCCGCGTGTACGCTACTTCTCCCAATCTCAGCCTGTTTTCATTCTGTCTTGTAGCTGGACGTAGCTGTGAAAGATTTTTCTGGTTCTTTAAACTGAATGCTGTGTTTTGTGATGGCTGCGTTAGYGCCCCCACTCACAATCTCAGCCTATTTAGTCTGCAGGGGAACAAAGCATGGATGGCTCTCACAGTTGTGTGGATTGTGGGGCCACGCTGCAGGCAGATGATGGCCATGATCAGTGCCCTGCCTGCCTTGGAAGCGATCACCTGACAGATACCCTCTCAGAGAACTCCTGCATGAACTGCAGTTATTTACCTCGTGCAGTGAGGGTGGCTCGGTTGGCCCAATTGTGCCCGAAGAGTCCCAAAGACCTCCCGCCTTCTGGGCAGGTGGCCCAGCCAAGGCGCTCTAAGCACCGGAGTGAGGGCACGGTTACTGCGGCGCCTCCCAAAAAGAGATGATCCAAGTCTGATCGGGGTCTCTCTACGAGGGTTGAACAGCTGTCGACGGAATTGGCAGAGATGAAATCACTGCTCGAGGAACGTCAGCTGGGTAATGTGGTGGAAGGGCCTGCTTTTTCTTCTCCACCTATGCTTGAGTTGACTGGAGAGGATGACGTATTGTCTTTGGTTGCCTCCGCCTCTTGCTTTAGGGGTGAGGAGGAGGCACAGTCCTCTCACGCTTCAGAGACTGGTTCACTCTCCTCATCTCAGAATGCAGCCAGTGGGTCATCAGGTCACAGCCCCATGCAGGACATCATGCGCATGGCCCTGAGACAGCTACAGTTGGAGGTCCCGCTCTCGCTGGGGAAGGGATCTGCTTACGGGAGTGCCTTTTTTAAGCACAGCCGAGCTCCTCCTCAGTTTACTATTCCTCAGTCAGAGGATTATCTGAAGGAATTACACTGTTATTGGCAGGACCCAAGAGCCTTTTTACGCCTCAATTCAGATGGTCGAGTTTCGGCAGCCATGCATGAACCAGCCAAGGCTGGCTTAGAGGGTATACCGGTGGTTGAACCCTCTATGGCCTTGCTCATTGTGTCACCCGATGAGGCTCTGCGCCGTGATGTTCGGTGCCCACGACCTCAATGTTTCATTACAGATGACCTCCTCTGTAGAGCTTACAGTGCTGGAGCACATGCTGGCCGCCTTGGCAATTCCTTAGCACATGTTATGTTTGCCCAGCATTTCAGGCCTTTACACTGATGACTAGAGAACTTGGCCGTGTAATGTCCAACCTAGTCCAGGCTCGCTGACAGCTCTGGTTGGTGCAGTCTGCATTTACAGAAGGACCCCATGGAGCGTTCCGGTGGTGCCAGGTGAATTGTTGGGTTTGGGGCCTTGTAAGTCCCAGAGTGTACAGTTCAGGCACGGCAGACGAGACAGCAACTCTCCAGCCTTAGTAGGGCAATGTCTCCTCCCCCACCTAGACAACAGACAACTGCCGACTGGCCCCGATGTTCGGCCGTCGTCCCGGGGTGGTAGTTGGTCCTGTGGTTCTTATTTTCAGGCTGCACAGCAAAGACCCAGCAGAGGGTTTCATGAATCAGCCCACCACCCATTCAGGCAGGCCCAGACCACAGACTCTGCACCACCCCCCCCAGGGCCCGTAGGGACCAAGTGGGTAGGAAATGATACCACCAGGATGACTGTCTGATATTTTTCCCATCAGTAGCTCAGTCAATGGGTTGCTTATGCTCTAGATCCATGGGTGGTTGCCACTTTAACTCATGGTTACTGGCTACAGTTCCGACGGTGGCCTCATATCTCCCGCCGGGTCAAGATGACTGTTATTACGGACCCGGTGAAATCCCAAGCCCTAGACCAGGAGCTTTCCACCCTCCTTCCTGGCCAGGGTGCGATCAAGGCAGTGAATCTCCTGTGGCAACCTGGGGGCTACTATTCAGCATGCCAATGTGCCAAAAAAAGACAGGTGGGTTTCATCCCATTTTAGATCTGAGGGGACTCAAGTATTTGAAAGTGTTGCCTTTCCACATACTCACAACATCAGAGGTTCTTCAGAGTGGGAGGAGGGGAGAGTGGTTTACATCATTAGACCTAAAGGATGCATATTTTCATGTGCCTATTGCAGCAGAGCATTGTCACCTTCTCTGGTTTGCTTATTGGGGTCGCCACTGGCAATTCAGAGTACTCCCATTCGGCCTCTTTTCCGAGGGTGTTTACACGCTGTGTAAAAGCAGCCCTCTCTCCTCTACAGGCCAGCGGAATGAAGGTACTTCCGTATCTGGATGATTGGCTTCTCTGTGCCCCTTCTCGGGCGAGTGCCTCTCAGGATACAAGTCACCTGATAGCCCACGTCTCTCGGCTGGGCCTCAAGGTCAACTTGGAGAAGAGTTGTCTGATTCCATCTCAGACAGCCACCTTTCTGGGGATGGTCTTGGATTCGCCTTCTATGAAGGCTCGACCGTCTGTTCAAAGGGTAACCAACATTCTACAGTTGCTTAGTCTGTTCAGGCTAGACAGGAGGTTGCCTTAACTCACCTTCCTGCAGCTGTTAGGCAAGCTGATGTTGATTACTCAGCTGGTGCCCTTGGGATTGCTGTCACTGCACCCTCTGCAGAGGTGGCGCAACAGCCTTTTCCTGGATGCCAGGGTGCACAGGCATCGCAAACTCCAAGTGACATGCTCTTGTCTTCGTGCCTTGTCTCCATGGAGAGACAAGAGTTATCTGTCCAAGGGCATCCCCATGGGGATTGTAGTGTGCCGCAGAGAGGTGTCACAACAGATGCCAGCTCCACAGGATGGGGTGCTGTGTGGCAATACAGAGCAGTTCAGGGTCGCTGGAGCCTAAGGGATCGCTGCAAACACATAAATGTACTGGAGCTGATTGCYGCACATTTGGCTTAAAGGCATTTTCTCCCCAACTTGGAAGGAAGGCATGTGCTAATTCAGTCAGACAACACCCCTGTGGTCTATCACATCAACCACCAAGGCAGCACCAGGTCAGCACAGCATCTAAAGGTGTCCAGGGACCTGCTGGGATGGGCTAATTCTCATCTGTCCACTCTGAGTGCAGTGTATTTGACAGGGCAGCACAACCAGGTCACAGACTCTCTCGCCAGGGGTCTGCTCCAGGGGAGTGGTCTCTTCACAGCGACATAGTTGATGATCTGGGATCTATTCGGTCAGGCAGAGGTAGATCTGTTTGCCACAGAGCAGTCGACGCATTGTCCCCTTTGGTTCTCCCTCACAGGGACATGCGGTGCACTGGGTCGGGACGCATTTGCTCATCCTTGGCCAAGGGTCCTGCTCTACGCCTTTCCACCACTTCCATTGATTTGGCCCACTCTTCAGAGAGTTCTCAAGGAGCGCCACAGGTTATTGCTAGTGACTTCGAACTGGCCAGCACGACCATGGTTCCCACTTCTACAGAGTCTGTACTGTGGCGTCCCATGGTGTCTTCCAACCAGGAGGGACTGGGGGGGTGCAGATATAGCATCTGAATCCTCAAAGTCTCTGGCTGTGGGTGTGGGGCTTGGGCTGCAACTAACTGGGTACTCTGATTCTGTCAGACGCACAATTTTAAGTGCCAGGGCACAGCCTACTCGCCAACTGTATGCAAACAGGTGGCATCTGTTCTCCCAGTGGTGTTCAGCCCGTAATGAGGATCCGGTTTCCAGTCCAGTAACTGTGATCCTGGAGTTTCTCCAGTCTCTCCTAGATAAAGGCCGCGCTCCCTCAATGCTTAAAGTGTATGCGGCGGCAATATCATGTGGCCATACTGTTATTGATGGTGGTACAGTGGGGAGCCTTAAATTAGTTTCTCTTTTTCTTCATGGTGCTCATATGCTGTGCCCACCAGCAAGAACACGGGCCCTAGTCTGGGATTTGCCCTCAGTGCTTGAAGTCCTCTGCCACCCTCCTTTTGAGTCTCTAGTGCAAGCTGATCTCAAGTGGCTCAAGACAAATGGCAAATGTCTCAGCTAAGAGAGTTGGTGAGCTGCACGCTCTTTCTGTTAGTCCCTCATGCCTCAGATGGGAACCCAATGGCTCTGGTGTTACTTTGTGGCCAAACACTGCATTTCAGCCTAAGGTTTTCTCCCATTCTCATTTTAACCAGCCATTGAGATTGGCACGGTTTCAGCCTACGTCAGGGACGGCTGGGGAGAAGCCTGAGTTGTGCCCTGTGAGAGCACTGCAGGCATACATTGAGGCTACTGCAGGTGTGAGACGCTCAGATCAGCTTTTCCTGTGTTATGGAGGCCCTAAGTTGGGCCATCCTCTTTCCAAGCATTGTCTCCCTCTTTCATTGGATTGTGGATGTCATCTGTCACGCTTACAGGGCAGGAGGCTGCTCTCTGCCAGCCAGTGTGAAGGCACACTCTACCAGGAGCGTTTCAGCTTCCTGGGCAGCTATGAGAGKAGTTCCGCTGGAGGTGATACGTGCTGCGGCGTCCTGGGCCTCCCCGAGCACATTTACCAGATTCTATAATGTCATTGTGGCTGCCTCTCATCCTCTAGACCAGGTGCTGCATCAAGGGTCCCCTGGGCTTCCTCAGTGAGGTATGTGCTCAGGATTCCGTGTGACATCGTTGGTATTAGTCGTTCAAGAGGCTCCTACAGAAGATTCTGTAGGAGCACAGCCCTGGATGTTACCGGCCTATATCGGTTCAAGGTAATCATCCGATGGGTCACAGCTATGACTTTGTTGATATTAATTATTCGAACTGTGCATGCGCGAAGTAACATTCAGTGCTTTTAGCACCGCCCTCTGGTGGTCATTCGGGATTCAAAGAACCATAGTTACATACGTAACTTTCGATCTGTGCTCTCTGTGGAATTTGCCTGGTTAAATAAAGGTTTAAAAAACATTCTTGTGTAAATGTGACTGCAGTGTTTCTTCTGTTTTTGTTAACCTTTATTTTTATTTCAGGTTTAATATGAGTTTTTTTTTTATTCAGGTGGTGGTGGTTTTACAACAAGTTTTTGCCCTGATTCAAACAATACTCAGCAAGTGGCTTAATGACTCTCAGGTCGTAGAGGTATGCTATCTTAATGAAGTGTCAGATATTGTCGTACCAGAAATGTGTGTGATGCAGAAATGTCAGCGTATGTGAACTTGTAATGTCCTGTAGGCRGTGTGTGCCATCTTTGAGAAGTCAGTGAAGACTCTGCTGCATGATTTTGCTCCCATGGTTTCTCAGCTCAGTGAAATGCTTGGGCAGATGTACAGTACGATTCCCCAGGCCTCAGCACTTGACCTCACACGACAGGTACACACTCAACATGTGCAAGTACACATACTTTACTTTCACATACTTTACTTTAAAAGCTAATGACCCACTCATTAGTGAATTAAAGACTACTGTGGATCAGAAAAATCATAAGTAGTATGACTCAAAAGTAAACTCCTAACCATCATTTGTACGTCTAAAATAACACAATAATAGGAGTTTAAAAATACTTTTTTTTCTTTCTTTAGGTATTATAGCCAACTGTGTCATTAAAGTTTACTACCAAAGTCAAATAAAGTGGCTCATTTGAACAATTTAATCTCATTGGCCACTCATTAGGCTCCCCTTACTTACAAGTACTTTAATCACATTAAATCCCAGTATCAGCATTTGTTTAAAGATATCAGTTACATTTACACACCTGTGTAGCAACTTTTTAACAAGCTTTGTGAGCAATAAATGTGTAGATTAATTACTCAAATATAAGGTTGCCAGTTTATGTAGATAGTAGTTTTCTTCAGCAAAAATCTTACCTTGTTCAACTATAGTGTAATTTTATTCAATGTGTGCATGACAAAAACAAGGGGATGTTATGGCAGTGTGAAAATGACGGATCAATATTCAGTTTTATGCATTCAGATTAGTTAAATATGAAACCAGATTTAGCTAAAACTCAAAAACACATTTGTGCAATAAAAAAACCCATTAGTAATCTGGAAAGTATAATGTGTATAAAAGTCCATATGAGTTGGCCTCTTATTAGGATTTTTTGAGTGCAAGTAAAAATGTCTGGTGTTGGATTTTTTCTCCTGCTGTTTCAGATGGTTCATATCTTTGCCAGTGAGACAGACCACTTCCCACCAATCAAGGCTCTATTTGAGCTGGTCACCTCAGTAACGCTGTCCGTCTTCCAGCAAGGTAGGGCTTCAGCACAGGTGGGAGTCTCAGTGTTAACAGCTTGTGTTCGAATGAGAAATAGAAGATTCGAATTACGTCTGATTTCACTGGAGATCAAATCTTGGGGAAACAAATCTAAGTAAATGATACAAAATAATTTTGCTAAAATATGAGAGAARAATGTTGCATTTTATAGACATTTGATTTTGACTGTACTTGTTAGAAATTGCTCAAATGCATCAACTGGTAAGGTCTGCAGATATAGAAAAAAATTTCGAGTTTAAATTTTATGGGGTTCTCATCAGTCTAAACATTTGCGCTTATTATGGGAGAACCACAATGTTTTCTGTTTTCTTGGTGTGTCTATGAAATAAAAACACATATTTACCAGTCCACTCAAATTAGCAATGACTCACAATCCATAAATGGTACCTGTGGGAGGGTTGATTTCTGTAAGTAAGACTCTTAAAACCGCTGATCTACAAATACAGGAGCAATCTTTACACTTTAGTGATGACCCAACTAAAGCTTTCAGCAGTGCAAATTAGAGTCATGATATAAATAAAGACTAAACAGGAGGTTAAAATTTAAATATAATAACTTTGATTTTTATTTTTTGCTRCAGTATTAGTCATAAATGTAGTCTGGTTACAGCTTGGTAAATCAGCTCCTTCTTCTCAAAATTTTCTTTCCAATTTAAACATCCTATTTTTTATGGTTCAGGAAGCAAAAGGGAGTTAAAGCCTCAAATGTGTCCAGTTATTAAAAATAAAGCAAACATTTTGCACTTGACAATATAGAACTGCAAAACATTTTGTTGCAAAATGATTTGTTGATTTTAGTGTGCGGTTTTAAAAACCTTTACACAAAAGAACACACTAGCTGCATTTCCATTGACCATGAAAATGCGTGAATTAGAATTTCGAAAATAAATTTGCTCAATGGAAACACGTCAATTTTGGAAAAAAAAAATACGTTTTTCGACAAAATGTTTTTGCGCTAGGATGAGGTGGTTTTTCGGCCGTATCGAAATTGTGTTTTTCACAAAACTGCAATGGAAACACTTTTTTC